ATATATCTTCAAATATTGATCAAAGTCTATATAGTTTGACATTTGAAAAGTAAAATATGACAAATAAAAATAAACGAAATAATATTAACAACTTTTGACACAAGCGAAACTTCATTAATTTAGTAGTCACATCACACATGCATTCAATATTCCTTGTCACTCATTAACAAAAAAAATCAGGTGCTTAACCCAAACCACGCGTAACGATAGATACATAAATAAATAAAATTATTCGATTAAAATAATTTAAAATTTTAAATGAGACGATAGCAAATTTCTAACACGTAAAACAAAAGATGATGTGTGACCAACTTTATTTTATTTCTGAAGCTATAAACATACCATGTGTGGCCAACTGTTTATTTTTATTTTTTCTGTTGTTTGGATGTTGGAATTAGGATTAGGTTTGGATATTGGAATTAGGATTAGGTTTTTTTTTTTTCTCCTCTTCAATTTGTTTATCTTATTTAAATATGTTTACGAAAATAAAGAAAACTTTACGTGATATGTCGGTAGGATATATCACTTTATGCGACATATAAGTCAGATAAATCATTTTACGTGATGTATCGGGACGTTGGATGATGTATACGAAATCGAGACGCGAAGTATCAGAAAATTGAGTGATGTATTCGAAATCGGAATGTGATGTATCATAACGTTTTGGAATGTGTCCAGATTCCACCAAATTTAAGGAATTTTTGTAATTTTAAAAAGAGTAGAAATATGACGTAATTAATTTTTAACACTATGAAATTTGTGTAAAAATCTCGAAAAATATCGTCTTTCTATAACTAAAAAATAATTTAATTTTGACATTTCTCTTTAATCTTATTGAAATGATTTATAACTACACAAATAATTAAAGAAATATTTTATAAATTACAAATTTAAAAGTCTTTATTAATTAGATAGTGTCACATAAAGTAGGACGAAAAAAGAAAGAGCGTCATTTAGTGGTATTGTGACATTTGATATGTAATGTGTCCATATCATTGCTTAGTCAATTAGCTCCATGAAATAGACTCCTCCTATAGTATACTATATATAAAGCACCTTCCTTCCTTTTTCCTCCCAAATCAATTCTCAAAAAAACTAAATTTATCATCAACAAAACACACACAAAAATACAAGAGAAACAAAAGCACTAAAGAAGAAGAAAAATGGATCCCAACTCAGAGTGCATGGTAAGAACTCTCCCTCTTAAAGAGTTATCAACATTTCTTCATTCTGAAAATTTTCTCTTTTCATTTTGCTCTCATCAGTTTTGCTAATATTTTTCGACTTAATCGTGGTGTTCGAATCAGCTGTTTTGTAATTTTCCTCAATTTTTGTGTAGAATGTTGAAGATTTTCCTCAATTTGTGTGTAGTATGTTGAAGTCTGTAACCATCTCATAAGGCCAAGTACGTTAATTTGGGTAGCAGTGAGATTTGATCCTAGCATCTCTATCTTCTATGATATCGTGTTAAAATGTGTGATTATTTTATTTAATAAAAGTGTGTTTTCTCTAACATCGTCACACATTTTATTTTTTATTCTGTTGGTCCATTATAATTTGTATATTCCATGTGTATATTTTAAAATTTGCTAAAGGATAAGATTTCTTTGGATATTTACTCAATGAGTCACATTATATTGTACTAGCATTGTGCATTTTTGTATTTTATTTTTTTCTCTGTTTGTGTATACTAGTAGTATAAAAATAAGGACAACACAACACGTGTCCACTTTCTAGAACTATCTTTGTGAGACACGTGATTCTCGTTTGTCTGAACCTTTAATATTTGGGCCTCAAAATATCCAAATAGCCCAATCACATCCCTAAAAGTAATGGGCTGAATTATCCATAAAATATGGGTAACTTACATAAATATACTAGTATAAATTATAGGAACCACATATTATAAGTACTAAATAACATCCTATCCCTTCTAGTTTTCTATTTACCAAAAATCCCTTAAAAATGATGTTTGCGGGATACATAGCGTTGTGCACGGGATACATAGGTAAATAAGGGATTTTTGAAATAAGTAGGGATAAATGGATATTAAGGTAAGTAAAGGAGTGTAGTTAAGTAATTTGTCCAATATACTATATTGAAAAAATATTTACCATTTATAGCAATAACATTTTTTTTTACTTGATCACTTTTAATACATATTACTAAGAACAAATTATTATTCACATATAATACAAGTTTTATTGATGGATAATATATTTTTCACACATTTTAATACACTTGTAATACAATGTGTCAATTTCTTACCAAACAAACATAATATATTTAAAAAACAGTTATAATACATATATATTGCATATATAATTCACTTTTAATACATATTGCAGATTTAACATAGTATTGCTATAAATGGTAATAAATAAAAAGTATCACTAAAATCCGTAATTATTTATTAAAAGGCATCCATCCAAATAATTTTTTCCAAATATTATTTTTGGCCACCTCCGCCACAATTTATGTGATATAGTTTAACTGGACATGAAGTTTGAGAAATATATGATGATTTTGCTATGTTCTAAAATTGTCCTTAAAATAAGTGAATTCTTAAATGAAAAGGTATATCTTTGTGGAGTTTTTGTCAAATTAGTGAGACTCAATATGGGTAAAATGTTATAGTGTCATTACCTTACGAAGTTTGTATCAACTAGAGTTAGTTGGTTTAGTTAGAGTGCAATAAAGCTATTGCATTGAGGTCTTGTAATGGAGTTGTTACGAGAGGGAAGGGATTAAGAGGTTAATTCCTAGGATTACAAGAGTTTGTAATCAAAACATTGCTCGTGTTTTAGTAAAGTTGTTGGTGAAATCCTCCTACTCTGGTAGGTCGTGGTTTTACTCTTTTGAGCAAGGAAGTTTCCATGTAAACATCGTGTGTTCTTTACTTACTGGTTTTGTAGTTGTTTACCTTCCGTTCTAGTACTAGTACTAAATCAAGAACCTGGTCTCTTGGCTCGTGGTGGACTCACACAAGCCATCACAATTAATCATGTGAAAAAACTATAACATGAAAACTACAATACAAGAAAAAAATGATGCATTTCAATAGGAGCAAGGGCGAATTTAAGGGTAAAATATGGGGCACGTGAACCCGTGATTTGTATATATTTACCTAGAAGGTAGGGAGTAGGGATCAATTCCCATGTTCTACAAATCGTAGAATCGCCTCTGAGTAGGATTTAATCATATAGTCAACCTAATTGTGCTACTCACCATATCACCTTGAATTGATGTTAGTGTCATTATTTGTTAGGACAAGAAGAAAAGTGTAACACAATCAATGCTGCTCTGCTGCAAGCTGTACATATCCGAATCACGCAACAGAGAAGCACTTGAACCTATTGAGCGTGCTGCCAAACTTGATCCGGAAACAGTCATCATCAACAAATTTCAGGATCGTGATTACAATCGTGTGAACTATACTCTTGTATCATATGTTATTCATGACAGCACAGGCTGTCCCATTTATAGTCCCTTGCATCAAACTGTTGTAGCCATGGTTGCTGCAGCCTATGACGCGATAAACCTTGAGCAGCACTCTGGCGCACATCCTCGCCTTGGCGTTGTGGATGACATTCTCATTCATCCATTGGCGCGAGCTTCACTGGATGAAGCTTCTTGGCTTGCTAAAAAGGTTGCAGCTGATATTGGAAACCGGTTTCAAGGTTAGTAAAAAGTTTGCAACTTTAAATGACCTCTTCTTTTCTATCATGTGATATGCTGTACTGACTTGGAAATGCAAAACGAACCGGTTTTAGAGCTCAAAGTAACTGTATATATGAAATTGCATGCGTTCTTGACCCTCTGACTTTAAATTTTTGATTCGCCTTCTGAATACAGTACCTGTTTATTTATATGCTGCTGCTCACCCAATGGGGAAAGCACTGGACACCATAAGGAGGGAGCTAGGCTATTACCGGCCTAACTTCAGAGGCATCCAATGGGCAGGATGGGCTCAACCAGAGCAGGTACCAGTCAAACCTGATGAAGGTCCAGAGGTGGTGTCTCGTGCTAGAGGTGTCGTGATGATTGGAGCTCATAAATGGGTAGCAATGTACAACATCCCAATTATGTCCACGGATCTCTCAGCTGCTAGACGTATTGCTCAGAGGGTGAGTGCTCGAGGTGGAGGTCTACCCACCGTGCAAACTCTAGGCCTGTTTCACGGTGAGGACTCAACCGAGATAGCTTGCATTCTTCTAGAACCGAACCAAATTGGAGCTGATCGCGTCCAGAACCATGTTGAGACACTGGCATCTCAAGAAAGCTTGGATGTAGAGAAAGGGTATTTTACTGACTTGTCACCTGAAATGATAATTGAAAGATATATGAAACTAATTTCCAGTTCAAGCTGATTTACCAGTGTAACCTGTGTATAAAGCTACTCAACTCTGCCTTTAAGCTTCTGTCAATAAGAGAATTCAACTCATCTGTATTTTCCATTCATTTCAAATGATGTTTGAATGGATCTGAAAATGCATTGACATACCATTCTTTTTTAATGTAATAGAATGGTTACTTTCTAGTGGTTAATTTTCATATTTTATGATTGTATGGTTGTTTGTGAGATTTGCATTACAAAGCAAGAGTCATACATGTTTTTGGTGAACCGGTCTTTCATGTTATGTTAGGTTATATTATATATTCTCTATAATCATATTCCATTGTGGCATCCAAAAAATATTGAGACAAATGATGATGCTATAGAGAAGTTTGACACTACATAATTCATACGGTGAACAGCTAATTTACATTGAGGCTTAATTGATTAATATAAATTTCCATGTCATGTTGACAATGGAGTAACAAGTACTAAAAATTATCCAATGATTCACACCCTTATCCACAAGGAGAAATCAACAAAACCATTGCAATTCTTTTACATGCCCAGAATTACATTCCAAAAGTTTTTATATTGTTAATAAATATGCAAGTGATAAGAGTAGGGATTAGTACTGAACTTGAAAGACCATTGCCAACTGCGAAAAGAAAAGAGCAAAATTTTACATTTGAAACTGTGATCTATCCATACAAATCATGTACAATTTGGGGTCATCTGAACTCTCACCTATGAGACAAAACTACATCTCAAAAGGCACAATCACTTGTGATTTTCTTTGATTAGTTATATAAAGAACATAATGAACAATGAGAAAACAACGTTAGTAATCTTTAACTCTTAGTTGAGCATTGTTTACTACGAAAATCTTCAGATAGCAGTTTGTTCATTAACTCTTGCAACCTGTTGGCTCCAGGACCAGGCCTAAACACCGAGTCGTCTCCTATCACAGAGCAGGGATCAGCTCCATTAGCTGAGGTTCCATTACACCATGCTCCTGGTGCAAAACGATGTGTACGACCAAGTAATTCTTTGTCAATCTTGTCTAAGACAGGATCATCCTTGCGGAATTTTCGAGCAAATGGTGCACTGCTATTAACCATTTTGTTGAAGTCCTTCACTGTCAGTGAAACAGGATGTTGCTTGGGAGGGGTGTCCCAGGCAATGTAGTGCAAATCATGGCCTATTGCAGTGCTACGGAACTCTTCCGTGTTGCAAATTACTGTGTGAAAGTAACCTTCTGGTGAAGAAACAAAATTTGCATAGTACATGAGCAGAGTTCTTGGAAAGTTATCCCATCCCCATATGCAGTACTCCACAAAAGAGCGTGTCAAAACCACCCAAGCTGAGCCTAACCATCAAAAAGAAGAACTCTAGTTATAAGAATCAGATGAACAAAAGTTTCAAAGTGCATCCTTCTTTAATAATTTCAAAAGGAGAGAAAAATACTGTGGCTAGAAGTCAAGTCCTCTTAATATATCATCACTAGCAGGGCAGATCATGAACATGTAAGAGAAAAATATATGTACTAAATTTGGTCTGTGAGTCTCTGGTTATTAGTTTCTTGTATTTCAAAACTCAAGAAAAAAGCACAAACTGAACATAACAGGTAAAGACATAATCCATGTGCCATTAGTTGGGTCCACTTCCAACTGTTAAATAAACTTTACCTGTAAACAATGTAAAAGCTGTAGGTAGTGATCGCCGTTGAGAAGTTGTGGCAAGGTCAGATTTCTTGGACAAATAAAGACCAGGATCAATAATAATAGGTTTAGCTCTCTGGTTCCTACAACACAACAACAGCACCCAAATTAACATTTCAAGTATTTTATGTACAAATAGAAAAATATCTTGCTTGGGCACTTTAAAATTGAAAATTTTAACTCACTTACAGTTTCCACCCATGAAGCAGCATATTTTCAATAAAATTCAGGTTTCTGGACATATTAGAGAAGACATGGAGCAAATCTGCAACATTTAACAGACAAATGAACTTCATTTTCTGTGAAAGAAAGGAGTGATTGAAAGAGCGAAAAGCTAATAAATTACACAACGCCCTAGATTCTAGAAACTAACATTTTAAAAAGATTTATTATGAAAAAATAATAATTAAACAACAGATTTTTGGTTTCTTTCATATGCATTCGTGATAAAGTACCTTCTAACCAGTAACCAACTAGAAAAGTCCAATCAAAAGACATAAGCCGACAATTGGATCCCAGTATATGGAACAACCATTTGCATCACTTGCCAATGTATCATTTCTTCCTATCTCTTTCAATTTCATGCAGAAGGTTATAATGTCCACATGAGACTATCAATCCTCTTTTTAGCGAGTGCTATCATATGGTAGGTGAAGCGCATCAGCTCCTCGCAAATGTGCATATACTCCACTATCTCATCCCCCTTTGGCATCCCAAACACCACCTTATGCCCGCAAGTTTCCATCTTTAAAAGCAAATGTAAGCGCCATAATGCTGATGATGCAGGCGTAACAGATTTGGTGAACTTACTAGTGGGACAAAGGAATTGTGGGCAGAAAGGAAAAAAGGTTCAGGAATTTGTTGTTTCGAGTGGTAGAGGATGAAGGTTGTGGGATGACAGATTGACGTTGAGGATAGGGAGGAACTTCAAAGCAAGACTCTAAGAAGGTTTCTTGTAATACTTAAACTACACAAGATAGGTGATTAATTTGGAGTGTAAAGTCTAGGAAGGTCTTGTTTATTAACTCTAAATATACGTAGTTTCACGCTAGGATCCCCCTATATCTGCAAAGTTTTCATGCCTTCATATCCACAAGAATACTATTTATGGCACATGTTCCGTCTTCTACAGTTTAAACTTCTTTAAACTTCTAAAACACGTTTGATTCGGTATTATCTCCACAACATTTGACATTTTAACTCTCTAAACTAAACATTAAGATGGAGATAATCTCAATTCATGCTAAATGATCTGGAAGTTTGGCGGAGAAACTTTCCCGTCCGTGGCACCTGAATGCAGCATTTTCTTACATATTTTTTTAAACCAAAAAGAAACAGGTTCCCTTATTTCCTGCTACTTACACCTTTCCTCCCTTATTACAAAGGCACTTTTTCTTCCTTGGCCCTATGTCTCTATTATCAGTGTCATGTGAAGAAGTCTTTCCCTACTATTTTCTAAAGATGTCACCCAATAATAAAGTTTTCCTCGCACTTGTCAGTATTTATTGTTTTCTCCACCAAATTGAAGGGCAGAATTGTTATGGTTACTGTTTCAATATGTGTGCATTGCATAACTTGAACGGGATTGTTCTATGTTCTTGCGAGAAGAGAAAATGTAGGGGTCAGGAAATCACAGGGACAAAAACATTGATCCAAAAGGATTTAAATGCTACTATTTATTTAGCTTTAGATGTTGTTATCAACTTCCAAATACTCTTCTTTTTCCAACTTCAATCAAATATAGTCCAAACGCCTTCACACATTGGCCGGGAAACTTTTTTATCTCCTTATATGGTATTGGGCAATCTTGATATTATGGTTGAGGGAATGAGTTGCCGATGATCCCACACAAGTCGAGAAAATGAGTTCCCAAATGTCCATTTTTAACATGATATGAGAGTTAAGCCATCCTCATTCTTAGTTTTACCTAATGACGGGTGCTCATGTTATTGTTCATGCTCCAAATATCCAATTCTGGGCATGTGGAAATGTCCCACATTAATTGGGGTAACAGATTGTCTCCTCATATGGCCATGGCAATCCTCATTTCATGAGCTAATTCTTTGAGTTACTTTAGGGCCAATATACATTTTCTTAAGAGGTACAATCAAAATATCTAATAATGTTTAATTGGTTGAGTGGGATGTTGAGGAGGATCTGCATTTGTTGGAATAGAGAAAATTCACCAGTAAGATATATTGTGTGATCACTAAAAATGATATAGAAGAGAGAAATTGGCAATCAAATAGTAAATGAGAGATAGGAGAAGTAAATTACTTATTGCTATTTAATTGTTTTGATAATCCAAACGCATATGCAAGACAGTGCTCCTGTAAGCACAAGCACCTCTTGACAACAGTTTTACGCATAGCCTCAAAAGTTCATTTGATAGATGGATTGCACCTAAAGTTGTATTGCCCATCAGAAATATGATTGCTTTTAACCATTTATATGTCTAAGAGTCCTTTTTTTGAATTCTGTAAGTAATTCCTTGAATTTGTCTCTTTACTTATTTTTACCACCTCCAACTTTGTTATTCCAGCCCAATTCTCTTTGTTCTTGATATTTTGATAACCTTCTGTATGTGCTTGATACCTCAATCAATTTCATTGAGAACGCAAAAGATTTGTAGGTCTTAACTAGTTAAAAGTCAAACTTGAATTGAGAATTCTACTTCCCTATTTTTTTGTTTTAATGCACATTCCTACCACCTCCCCCAAACATCAGCATAAGTTATCTTTCATATTTTGAGCCATGAGATCCAAGATTTTAATGCCCCAAACCCCTGCATTGAGATGAAGCCGTCATAATGATCTATTTGGTTCAACAAGCGGAAGACCCTCGCAATTGTCCTACATGGCAAAACTATAACTAATTTCCATAAGAACAGCTCTTAAGCATGATAAGGAATGGACAACCAAACCAACCTTGTCATGCAAGGTTGATACTCACAGACTATTTTCAGCATCATAGACAATAACAACACATAAGTCTTATATGATGTTGTTGTCCATGACGCTGAAAATAGCTGGTGAGTATCAACCTTGCATGTCATTTCAATTTATAGTTTCATTTACCAATCTAAACGCAAAGAGGATTATAAGACTCTTATAGATCACCATGGATTGCCATAATAATCCGCTTTGCGCTTAGATTGGTAAACGAAACTATAAATTGAAATGACATGGTTTTTTTACCCACATTAAATGGCGCTTGACATATGTAAGTGGATTTCAATTTCCATTATGTTCAGAAGTGGAACCAAGTGCATCCTTGTGGTCATAGGCTTGCAAACTAGAAACCACGTTAGATCTTCACCCCTTGTTGTTAATTTTACTTTATTACTACCTCCCTCCAATATAAATGAACCTTCTAGACTAAAGCACAATGTGAGAGAAGAAAGTCTAAATGTGATTATTGCATTTGCTTTGTTAGAAATATTTTAAAGTGATTGTTGAAATATTTGGGAAGAATATAAAGATGGCATTCAAAACCCGTATCATAGGGTTGTAAGGTGCCTTGACAGTTGGAATATCACTAAATTTAGCATTAAGGAAGAACGATCTTTTTATGGATTAAGCTAATCTGAAAAGTGGATCAACCATCAAAAAGCTATCTGATTTGTCAAACAAATAAACTTTATACATTGACTTAATCACCACTTCATCAACACAATTTGACTCTTCCCTGCTATCATACCGAACACTATCGAACAAGTTCCTAAGAATGTCAACCACAGAAGGTAGGCACACCAGCAGGGACTATAAACTAGGAATAATAGAACCTATTGAACTACTTCTCAACAAAAAGAACCTAATCAACAAAGCTCATTCATTCAATTTTCTTTTACACGTTTTTAGGCATTTTCCAAAAGAGAGCTTCAGCAATAGATAAAAAGCTTACTTGAAGGGACCCTAGAGAATAGGTACTTGCTCTGTAAGCTGGTTAAAAACCTGTCACTACATTTTAGTGTCTCGATCACTGTAACAATAATTCTACCGAATATGTCATGCTAAATCATCCTAAGCACGAAGTCTAAACATTGCAATAATTAGGATGTCCTAATCATGTAAATTAGCAGTGAATGTACCTAATGCACTAATTGCACTAACAACTATCTACCAGTAGTAGACAAAATGTTCTGCAAGGGTGAATACTTTTTTTTTTATTTTAGCTGTAATCTGTAAACTGTATTGAGAGGGAATATTTTAAGGGTGATATTGATACTCTAGAGGAGGGAATAGTTTGCACTTTGCACACTAGGTTCTGGAATGATAGGTGGTTGAACAACACTATCCTGATAAATGGTTACCCCAGCACTAGCAATTATCATGTGAACCAAACTCCAGAACAGGAGAATAACACATGGAGTCTTCTTCTGAGAAGAAAACCTATAAGGCTATAAGACTGTGAGATTGTTAATATGAGCAAACTGTTATATAGGCTAGAAGGTTACAAGACAATATGTAGGCACCAGACAGGCTAAGATGTGGCAATGATAAGGAATGCATATATTCAATGAAAGCTGTCAATTCCAGAATATGTGCAGTGTGACCTGATTGATAACTAGCCATGGAAGTTGATATGGAAGATCAAGCTGCCAACACTCAGCTGGAGTGCTGGACAGCCCTTTATGAAGCATGTTCAAACCAGGACAATCTCAGTAAAAGGAACATTCACATTGTCAACAGATGTTATATGACCCAGCAGAATTTTGAGTCAAACAACCACATATTCTTTCACTGAATGGTGGCTTCAGACATATGGAATGAGCTCTTCCTGTCTTCGGGCTGAGCTAGGGAATACCAAAGAGTACTAAAGAAGCAATTGAAGGATTGGTAAGTCCATCAATCAAGTACGAAAGATGATCGCTACAAGTATTTTTTGGTGTGTCTGGACAGAGAAGATGTTTTGATGGTTTATCAACTCCAATCCATTTCCTTAAGGCTCGATATTTAGTATATTTATAAGTTGGCATAATGCCACACCTATTTTTTGCCCACTGTTAGCTCTCTAGTCCTAACATAGTCTCTGATGTAAAGCAGCTAACAATGTTTTTTTTACTTATTTAACTTTTGTATATTATGCATCCACTAGATGCCAGATATGAAATTTGTCATTACTCCACCAAAAAAATAATGTTGCAACTGGACCTTCAAAAGTTCAAATAACCAAGTAAAAAGAAACTAATAAAGAGTATATAAAGAAATATATGATCGACGACCTATAGCACATGGAAGTAGCACACATACCATCTTGAGTCATCAGTGGATAATCTGAAGCACTAAGATTAATAAACCAGTCCCACTTTGCACTTTCCTTCAGCAGAATAGATATAGCTTGAAGGGTACAAGCAAACATCGTAGGGCCCTTATAAGTCACTAAATTTGATTGTGCCATTACTCGAACATTCTCTACTTTGCGGAACGTGGGATCATTCTTCACCGATATTGTTAAGTTCAACCTTTCTCTAGGTGGAGCCTCAAGATCCATATGTAAAATATACTGATTCCTCGGGTGATAAACTGCTTGCAAAGTCCTCATCATTCTGTGACTATCACCCTTTGTGCCTGATATGAGATAAGCAAACCTAGGTGGCTCATTTTTGGCAAATCCATTTGATTGAAATGACTGGAAATCAGATTCCACAAAATATCCATCCGACTCAGCAGGCCTAGCAAAAGAAACCATATCCAACTGCACTTGATCTCTTCCATAGGATGATGAATATAACCCAAAAATCGTTGTTGTGAACAGCGTAATCGACACAAGCAAGCTCACAAAGAATGGTATTTTCCAGTGTCTATCGCCATATACCCTTCCCGAGTAAGAATTACCATTTTTATCATTAAACACTCTTCCTGAATAAGAATTGGCATATTTCCTCATGCTCAATAACCAGTATACAAAAGAACCCAAATTTTACAAATGAATTGCAAGCAAAAAGCTTCCAAGACTCAAGCTTTTCGCCTTGATCTCCTCGAAAAAACGAAAAGGATGGAACTTTACCATCAAAATAAAAAAAGGATGATATGGGCTATCAGCAGAAATGGTTGTTTCTGTAGAAACAGCACTAAAAGCTCAAAAGCTTCCAAATTTCCACCGACGAAAAAGTAAAATTATTGTTGTTAGGTTTTTACTATGCAAAGCAACTAACCATTACAAGTAAACTAACCTATAAAGGCAATGCTGAAAATTTAAAAAAAAATAAAAAATGTACGACTAAATTGTGGTGGAGTACAGAAAAGGGGAAAAAACATATGAAAATATCTAAACAAATTCAAACAAAGTAATCAGATTTCACACAAACAACAAATAGATTCCTCTGCTTAACCCCACTTTCCTAAACCTCAGATCTAATGACCCATTCAAACAAATTAGTTCAAGAAATTAACTTTAAGCCTATGGGTTTCAGGACCTCACAGAACTTATATCAAACAGTTGGTGATCTAACCAATAAAAGAAACTTAAAACCCATATGGGTTTGATTCAAGAACTGGTCTTTTAGCATAAAAGTCCAAAAAAATTGCAGAAAAATGAATTGGGTAGGGGGAAAAAGGCAGCAAAAGTTTAAAGAACCCCCTTTTAGCTGAATTAATCAGAAAAAAAAAACTGATTTTGCTGTGTTGCAAGATTAGAGAAAGCTGGGGTTTGAAAGCAGGAGAGCGAGAGATGACCGTACAGATTGCTTAAAGTGTAGGTAATGACCTAATTTGTGTATGATTATACGCTTGATTAGTACAGTATTATATATATAATGGAACTGTTAATTTGGAGTTAAGAACAAGAAAGATAATGTTAATAGTACTAGTTAAAATAAGCAAAAAGGGATTAGTAATAAACTACTTGTTGGAGGTAACAAGAAAGTATAGAGGGGTCTTAGGTTTCTTCACTTGTAAGTTCAAAGGGATATATGCTCCGTCCGAGAATGTGGTGTAATGAATGAAACTGCTCATTTTTTACATAAATTTTTTGATAGGAAATGTTTTCCCTCCAAAAAAATCTTATACAGTGCAAATTTAGATTAATCAAACTCCAATGTGATCTGCAGATTTTGAAGCCGGATAAAAACCAACTTTATTTTTTGGATATATGCAGAAATTTGATGTTTTTCATTTTGAATGTTAGTTTTAACTTTTTACCCGGTGAGTTCTGATGTGTTGAATTCTTTCTTCTTCTTTTTTTTAGAAGTTAAAGTTTTTTTCATTTATACATTTAATTGTGGTGAGTTGTGGCGTGTTGAACTCTATCTTTTTAGAAGTCAAATATTTCTTTTAATTAAATATATGTAGAAACTTAATATTTTTAATTTTGAATGTTTAAACCGTTTTTATTTTTTAAGTTGTGGCGTGTTGAATTCTATTTCCCTAGAGGTTTGAAGATTTCTTTACCTGTATATTCAATTAAACATATGCAGAAATTTAGAGTTTTTGGTTATGAATCTTAGTTTTATGTTGTGAGTTATGATGTATTAAATACTTTCTTTGATTTTAACCCAAGTGATGGACTCTGATTTTAACATGATTGATAGTGTCAAAATTAAACATATGTTGAGGAGATGATTGTGGTTTTGTGAGTATCACTTACTATAAGGTAACCTAATTCCGTTGGAAGGATTGTTGCGCATTGTTTTATAATGTGTGGTATTATATTGTATTGTGTTGAATTAATAATATCACACACTAATATCTTGAAAGATAAATTTACCGAAAAAAGTAGAATATGTGATAGATCTAGGATAAATATAAAATGAGATTGTTAATAACAAATAAAGACAAGGTAGGGGGAAAACATAAGATAACAACACTTGAATCAATTGTTACACAAAAAATAGGACTTTTTGTTGTTTCCTATAATATACCATACAATAAAATTAACTATTAAAATAAATAATATATTTAAACTAACAACACGATATCATAGTATTTGACCATTCAAAGAAGTTGTTACTAAACTACCTATTATTGGTGTAACAAGAAAGTAGAGGTCCTAGATTTCTTCACTTGTACATTTAAAATAGGATATATGCAGGAATTTGGAGATTTTAGTTTTGAATGTTTGTTTTTTATATTTTTGACTTGTTGAACTCTATTTTTTCTTGATTTTAACCTAATAGATATGTTCAAAATTAAGCATATGTGAGTGAGAAGATGATTATAGTTTATAACTTTATAACTTCTGAGTGTCACTGAAATATGTGTCATTGCCAAATAAAATTGATTTCATATTCATGAAGATTTGAACCTGAAACCTTTAAATTAAAGATGAAATACTATCTAATTTACCACAATTTTTATTAGACCGTCCTCGAATACGAATAAAGTGATTTTAAAACAAATGCTTTTTTGAGGTAATGCAACAAATTCAAAATTTATGTACTTTCATAGTAATGACAAAGAACTTTCACCTAACAGAAATTTGATAATTCTTTGGGTCTAAAATAATTACTTTGTACAGAGAAGTTCACCAAACTACAATTTGATCAGATTATAAAATAGGCTTTGGGCATAATTATGTCGATAATTTTAGCTATGGTGTAGACGAAAGTAAATATTTTTAAAAAGTTATACACATGAAAGATTCACCTAACTCTTTTTAAAAATAAAAATAAAAATAAAGTCTAACTCATTTTTTCAAATGATCTCATGACTAATAAATTATTCAAAATCATATAAGAAAACAAAAAACATATCATCTCCATCGATATGATATTATATATATTGGAAGAAATTGTGTCATTCTTGGCTCGCTAATCAAGTTCTAGCGAGTACTTTAAATTTTTTTACTGTTTAGTCCTTTTTTTAGGGGTTTGAGTTTTATAAATTGTTCATGGAACAAAAATTCACACTTCGATTATGAATTCGAATAACATGAATCATTCTTGAAGTTTGATCTCATAAAGGTTTGAACTCCATGAATTATTCATCGAGATTAAAACTCATACAAATTTTCACACTTAATGAATTGTGAAATGTAAACTCTATAAATTGCTCATGAAATTTGAACTGATAAAGATTTAAATTCCGTGAATCGCTCGTGGACTTTAAAACTCCAACAAATTATCACACTTGGATGAAAGTTTAAATCCTAACATTTTTTTGAACTTCATCACATTGCGTAGAATTTGACTTACCAAAAGTTCGAACTTGAACATCATGTGACTAAGTTGTTTCACGTTTTACCTACGAATATTATCGTCCAAATATTATTTCCATCACAAAAGCAATTATTTTTCAACTACTTCTCAAATTATTATAACTAAATATATGTAATTGTTTTTCAACTACTTTTCAAATTATTAATCATACTACTATGGAATATATGTAATTATTATTAATGGATCTTGTCTGTTGGGCTTTTCAATATTGTACACTTCTTGTTTGATGGAGACCCTGCACATTGCAGACAAAAATGCAAATTTTTTGAAACTTGTACTATCAATCTTTGTCCTAATTATTTTAGTAGTTTTTTTAATTTATTATCACTTCTTCCGTTTCAAAATAAATATTATCTCAATTTTAAGAAATTCAAAATACAGTGTTATCAAGAATTTTTAAACAATTTTATACTTCATTTTTTTAGTAGTGTTCAATTTTTACTAGACATTTATTAGATAGAAATAGTTTAGTAATTAGTTGCATTGATTTCTTAATAAACGTAATATTTGCTAAGATGACACTTATTTGGAGATAGAGGAAGTATCTCTTTTATCTTTGGCAAAGTATCATTTTATAGCTCGACTTTAAGAAAAGAACTTGTAATAGTGTTTTGTATGGATGTGATTGTTTTCTGACCGAAGTGCATGAATATCCAATTTTGATATTGTCATTTAATTTGTTTTCGCGAAGTAAGTTTTGTACATATTCCCATTTCAAACAATGTTTGAAATTTTATATGAGTCAAGTTCAAACACACGTGATTGAAGTTCAGTCATTTTGCTTCCCTCAACCATTTTTTACTTAAAACTTCAATTATATATGTCTAAAGGTTAACCATTTTTGCCTAAACTTAGAGTAAAAATACATGAACTTTACTTATTAAGCCTAATTTTAGACACCACATATTCAAATAGATATATACACAAAAATTTAAAAGATAAATTCATATAAAATAGCAGTGTCAAAAAAGGTGTCCAAAAAATGGATAACTCTTGTTATCCAATGAGTTGGGCTTCAACAAGGTATAGTAAGTTCCATGGTGGGCTTGGCCTATTATAATGGATAGATGAAAGAATACTTGGGTCTAAATTCCAATTGACAATAACCACTTTCATTTAGGAAAAACTATTTTATTAGACATATATTCATACCTAGATACATACAGTTTTGCTATCAGATACATCAAAATAGAGAGGGACGAGTGAGATGGGTGAAATAATCATGTATTCCAGATACATAGGAGAGTGGCGAGCGAGATGAGAGGGAGACGAGCGAGATTTATAATGTATCCTAGATACATGCGAATCCACTTGAATACAGTGTATCTTAAAATAATTACACTTGATTTTGGCCTTATGTATCTCGAGATACATGTATCTGGATATACTTTAAGCACACCAAAATATGATAAGATTCGTAATATAAAAAATCCATTTGTAGAAGTTTGAATTTAGTACATCATATTAAAATTCTATGATAGTGAATTTCGAATATCAACACATTAAACAGATATTTTTCGTGTTTTGACTAAGGATATTTTAATCTAAACTTTAATTTCACATTATTATTATAAGCAAATATAAGTATGAATAGACAAATGGAAACGGCTCTATTTTAGTTTTTACTCCATATCGGTCAATAATTGTGACTGGAATTGGTAGGTATATATCCATTTACTTTTTTTGTTTGATTGAAAAAATATTTCCCATTTAATTGAAACTTTACAGATCATTTATTTGGCTTATTATCGTTATTATTCTAACTACATAAATTTTAGACTTACTGAATAAGTAATATCACGATCACTCAATTAATAGTTATTATCTTAGAAATTCATTTTTTTCATTGAAGAAAATTGAAATCAAGTAAAAAAAGTGACATTTATGAGATAATAATCGTTAGTTGTGTGACTATCTGAGAAATTCAACCTATAAAACTACAAAATTATTTTGACGCGACTCATTTTCGCTAGGTGAATGAATCAAAATATCATTGATGAATACAATCACAAACGAATCTAAATAGGGTCAAACCATCTCATTTATCAACTCAATAAATACCATCGGGACATTAGGCAACCCAAAGGACATATAATAATTCAATTCAATTCTTAATTAAATTAAAGAAAGTAGGCTAAACTACTTGGCTAGGTAGAGTGAACATTTTCATGTGAAATCACATAGTAGGTAGCCGCTAAATTAATAAAAACGAATTTAATATACTAATTATTTCAAATTTTCATTCTAATCTGTAATTCTGACTAAAAACATTTAACCTTCCACTAATTGAAATTTGCACTTTTTAATCTCTCTACTTGTGAATCTTTACAAATTTACTAAATTATTAGTCTTCATACCATTATTTTACCCATCGTTATGTTAAATTAATTAGTGATGTTACTCCGTACTAAAGAGTAATATCTTTTCTTAAAAGTAATCTAAGTACAATATTTTTCCTACATTAAAAAGATAAAATAAAGTGTTACACATTACCCTTATGATTCTTAAAAACTTATGTTAAAAAATTCAGTCTCTTTTTCATAAAATTGACTTGATGCCTCCTTATAAATTGAGTCCGGAATCTAAATAATGAATGAAAAAAAAAATGAAATTAATGTGTCAGAATAAAATCAACAAAAACTATATACAACACACTAAATTATTTTCTTATTTTCATCCATCATTTAGATTTTGAACTCTCATGATTCATGTAATATACTTTATGAAGTTAA